GACTAGATGATGACTAAGTTTCCTGTAAACCCTGAGATCCAGTGTGTTGATGAATACGCAAATTATAATGGATTAGAAGCACATTCAAAGAATCGTTTCCTCTGGCTTTAAATCTTCAAGCGCTACTTATTATTTGAGGCAAGAGCTAATGAGATGAACAGCTTAACCAGGCAACTGTCCACACTTATTAAAGCATGATATTTTCATTCATTCTAAGACAATTTCTGTTTTTGTATTTTAACGTTTCTGACATCAAGAGGTATCTTGTAACACAGGTGTGTCATAGTATAAGCGGCATCCTGCTTTTCTTTTGGTGACCCGTCAACGATGTGGCTTACAATTGGTGACTTCTTGGACTCAATGAAACGTAGAACTTTAAAATCTGGGATATAACACCAAACATCTTTTTTTTTTTTTTAATTAAAAAAAAAGAGATTTGAATAATAGTAATACCCAAATGTGCAATATTCCAAAAAAAGGCATTAGCAGGTACATCATTCACAGGTTCAAAATATCTGCAAAAATATTTGACCAGGGGCGCCTGGGTGGCTCAGTCGGTTAAGCATCCGACTTCAGCTCAGGTCACGATCTTGCGGTCCGTGAGTTCGAGCCCCTGGGCTGATGGCTCAGGGCCTGGAGCCTGCTTCCGATTCTGCGTCTCCCTCTCTGCCCCTCCCCCATCCATGCTCTGTCTCTCTCTGTCTCAAAAATAAATAAACGTTAAAAAAAAAATTAAAAAAAAAAATTTGACCATAGAAAAAAATTGAAACTTCTATATACCAGAAAAATATCATACACTTCAGAAAATACTGCAAAAGGGGCACCTGGGTGGCGCAGTCAGTTAAGCATCTGACTCTTGATTTCAGCTCAGGTTGTGATCTCATGATTCATGGGACCAAGCCCTGCTCTGGGGTTTGTGCAGAGCCTGCTTGGGATTCTCTCTCCCTCTCTGTCCCTCCCCTACTCATACGCTCTCTCTCAAAATAAATAAATAAACACTAAAAAAGAAAAGAAAATACTGCAACATATAAAATGTTAGTAAGCCTAGGATAGAGAGCGAGCTCTTAAAAATTAGTAAGAAAAACAGAAACATAGAAGTAGAATAATGAAGAAAAAGCATGACTGGTATTTCACAAAATAGAAATGGCCAAACATATGAAACACATGAAAAACTGTTTATCTTAATAGTAATCAAACAAGAGGGGCACCTGGTGGCTCAGTCGGTTAAACATCGACTTCGGCTCAGGTCAGGATCTCATGGATCATGGATTCAAGCCCCGCATCGGGCTCTGTGCTAACAGCTCAGAGCCTGGAGCCTGCTTCGGATTCTGTGTCTCCCTCTCCCTCCCTCTGCCCTTCCCCTGCTCATGCTCGGTTTCTCTCTCAAAAATAAATAAAACGTTAAAAACAAAAAAATAGTAATCAAACAAGTAATACTAAAACATGCCATTTTTACCAAATTGAAAATTTCAAAAAGTAATAAATACTACAGAATTGTCTTTAGAGGTATAAAGGATCAACTATTGACAATCTCACATGGTGCAACCTAGTATCTAGGACTGGAGAAGGGAAATCAGTCTTCTCATACAGGATATATAAAGTGAACTGACCTTTCTGAATCACAATTTGGAAATGAACTTCAAGTCTTTAAACCATACTTCAGCCTAGTGATTCTGTTTCCAGTAATCTATTCTAAAAGGGACAAATACGTACAATGATTTATTTTGCTAAGACTTATTAAAATAGGTACTTGATATTTGTTAAAAATGCTCAATCCAGAGGACTTAAATAAATAAATGATAGCGCATCAAAAGCTAGTTAGACTACTATCCGGCCATCAAAAAGTACATACTCAAACAGTATTTACAGACACGGGGTCATGATTATGTCACAATGTTAGGTAAAAATAACAGAATATAAGGTGAAAAGTACAGTTTGGCAGTTCCTCAAAAAGTTAAACACAGAATCACCACATGACTTAGCAAATTCCACTCCTGGGTATATATCCAAAAGATTTTAAGTCAGGAACTCAAACAGATACTTGTATGCCAATGTTCATGGCAGTATTATTCACAAGAGCCAAAAGGTGGAAATGATGCAAATGCCCATCAACAGCTGAACGGATAAACAAAACGTGGCACCTATGTGCACACAATGGAGTATGATTCAGCCACAAAAAGGAATGAAGTTCTGACACCTGCTACGAACGGATGAACCTTGAAAACATTATGTTAAGTGAAATAAGCCAGATATAAAAGGGTAAATATTATATGATTCCACTATTTGAAACATCTAGAACAGGCAAATCATAGACACAGAAAGTAGATTAGAGGTCACCAGCTGTCGAAGGGAGGGGGAATGGGAATGGTTACAGAATTTCTCTTTGGAATGACGAAAAAGTTTTGGAAATAGTGGTGATGGTTGCACAACACTGTGCATGTAAGTACTGAATTGTATACTAAACAATGATTAAGATGGTAAATTTTAGGTCACGTATTTTTTTTTATCTTAAAGCAGAGAAGGGGAGCTACTACAGAACGAAAGAGACGTAAGAGACAGAAGACCACATACAGTCTGTGGACCTTATATGGATCCTAATTCAAATAAAACAACTCTAAAAAGGAGAAAAAAGTATGAAATGAAAGGACATTTAAGGACAGAGGATCCTACTCATGTCACAAAGTAAAATTAAAAGAGCACGTAGTGAAATGTACATTATAATCCCAATGAGAGCCCAGACACTCGTCTTTTTTAAAAAGCTCCACAGATACTTCTCATGCGTTGTGCAGATGGAGAACGACCATTCCACTCAGTCCACAGATGCATCAAGCACCGCAAAGAATATGAAGGTGTTTAAGACATCTTGTAAAGATGCCTTATATTTTTTCTTATAAGGAAATCTAAAACCTAGTTGAAAAGATAAGATATATTCTTGTTTGGTTTTTTGGGGGGCGAGGGGGGCAAAGAGCTATCTATTCAAGGATTCACTCTACCTGAGCTCAGAGGGAGCCATTGCCACAGACAGGGACATTCAGGGAAAGCTTCCTAGAGGATGCGGGACTTCGGTGGGGTCTTTGAGGATGGGAATATAGTAAATTGGTGGAGATGAGAAAACCCATGACAAGTTTGTCAGATGTGCAGATCAGTCTAAAGGATGTACGAGATCTGCGCAAGGAATTACTAGATCCTAAGTTTGGGGCTACTCTCTGGAAGGCGCCTAAATTAGACCTGACCTCTGAGGTGATGGTGGAGACAACTTTAGTTTTTGGGCATCTGGTAACACGTTCAAAGCAATGCTGTGAGATAAACCTGGTGGCAGCAACGTTTAAGACAGATCTGAGGGGAGAAAGCGAAGAAGCGAGGAGGGATGAACCAGGAGGTCACTGCGAGTCAAGCATGAGGTGACAAGGATGAGGGTGCTGGCGGTGCCAGAGAAATGAAAGGTGACCTGAAGGAAGGGTGGGCTGAGTGCCCCCTAGGGATGAGACTGGAGAAGACAAGGCCCACAGCTGGTGAGGTCCCAGGTCTGGGTAAAAGAAGAATGACAGACAGGACTGATGAAAAGAATGAAGTCTAGAACACAGACATGGTTCTCTCCAACTCCTCTCTGCTTGGTACTGACAGAAGACTGACTGGAAAGTGTTTTGATGAGCAGCTCCACTTTAGACACTTTGTACTTGAAATGACAGGAGGATATCAGCAATTTCAGATTAATACTCAGTAGGTAACTAGTCTGAGTGTTTAAGATGGGACCAGGGACACAGAGTGGAGGGTAATCAACCAGGAGGTGACAGCTAAAACCGTGAGTGGGGTTAGGACTTCTGTGGGAGACAGGCAGAGAGGAGAGAGAACCTAAGTGGAACCTCAGAGCATGTTGTTACTTAAGACACAAAGGAAACCAGAAGTCCCAAGAGGCAGAGGAATATCAAGAATTCAGGAGAAAACCAGACTGGTGTGGCCTCTGGAAGGAAAGAGAAGAGGGAACAAAAAGTGAGTGGTCAGTAGGTACAAATACCCCAGAAAGATGAAGGAAAACAAAGAGCAAGGAAAGGCTACAGTAAACTTAGGAGGGACAGGCTGTCCGCACACATCTGTGGGCTCAAGGAAAAGGGCCCATGGAAGGGGAAAGGTTGAAAAAGGCTCAGAGAGAACAGATAGAGGGGCGTGGTCCCACCAGAGGGAAAACAGGGTCCAAGTGGGGGCTTAGCTTGGAGAAGGAGGGAGCCTGGCAATCTAGATATGCAGTAAGTGTTTCTGGAAAGAAAGACATTAGGATGGGTATGGATAGAAGGTCTTTCATAGGGTACATACCCGAACTGTCAATTTCAATTTCATACTAAAGGGAACTAGTGTGAATAACTTGAATACAAACACAGATAATCTCCAAATTCTATCTTAAGAAATTTCAACATATTTTTTAAAAAGCTAATGAAGGTTAAAAAAAAAAAAACAACAACAACCCTGACATTTGAATTTCTCAAACATCGAGGTGGTAGGAAGGTGGAGCAGAAAAAAAATGGACTTGTAGCCGGATGGGTTTCAGTCTAGCTCTGCCGCTTAAAATCTGGCCTTAGGCAGGTCCCAACCTGTCCCAACAGGTGTCACTCCCAGCTCCACCTGTCCCATAGGCCGTTAAGAGTGTCAGGAGAACAAAAGGAGGTAAAAATGCGCAGAAATGCTGCAAGAATGTCAATATTCATTCGTTTAAACAGCACTCAAAAAACAATTTGGGGGCATTTATGGTGTTCAGGCAGGCATGTACTAACAAGCACCAACAAGAAAATGAAACTGAGCCCTTGCTTCTAGCATGCTGCAGGAGAAAGATGACGAAGAGGCCGCTTTCGGGGATTAAGTGATCAAACGGCATGTAAAGCAGGGAGAAAGGGTCCTTTTGGTAGATGAGATTTGGCTGTTTTTTTTAAAAACGGTACCAGAGCCAGGAAAAATACCTCTGATGCCTCGGTTCACATAAAGCCCTAGGGGTTTATGCGAACACTCACCTCAGCTATCAACAGCAAAGTGTCTTCTTTGAAGCCGAACTCTTTCATTTTATCTGCAATTTCCTGCTGAGTCCTTAAATTCCTCTCCAAAGCAAACGAGGTTTGCTGCGACTGGGTGAGCTGAAGCAAAAGCCTGAAAAACAGAAGTCCCAACGTGTGGGCACAGGTAAGGGAAAGCAGTGAGGGAATGTTCCCAGAGAGCACAGGCATGCTGCCGGATGGGAGTCCTACCAGGCTTGGAATGCACTCGCCTTCATTTGAATCCCTAAAGCTTCTTACTTGAGCAAACTGCCTTGGAGAGTCATCTTTTCTAAAATTCACAGACTAAAGCTTCTCAAAGAAATCTTTAGAAAGCGAAACCTCAAAGGGCTTCCTGTAGGAGTCAAGTGATTGAAAGCACAAACAATTTGGAGTGAAAAGGACAAGCTTCCCAATCAAAGGCTCCTCCCCACAAAGTGCTGGGATGTGTTCCTTTGAAGTCAGTGTTCTGTGACCCTTCAATCTCCCAGAACCCACAGCAACTTGACCTCAAGGACTAATTAGATTCTCCAGTGTACTTCAATTACCCAAAGCAGGGTCAAATCTCTGATGAGCCTCTGGTGACCACTTTGCAACTGTCTCACTGCTAACTTTCCCATCATGATCATAACCTGGTCTTCTCTTTCCTCCTCCCTCCTGTCCTTTCACGTGGCCCCTTCTCTTCATTGTTTTTTTATTATTTATTTATTTAAATTTTTTTAGACAACATATCTCCTCTTCTTTAAAAAATTGCTTTTATGTTTATTACTTATTTTGAGAGAAAGAGAGCACAAGCAGGGGAGGAGCAGAGAGAGACACAGAGAGAGAGAGAAAGAGACAGAATCCCAAGCAGGTTCTACACTGTCAGCACAGAGCCTAAAGCAGAGCCTGATCTCACGAACTGAGAGATCATGACCTGAGCCAAAATCAAGAGCCAGGCTCCACTGAGCCACCCAGGCGCCCCACTTCATTGTTTTTTTAAATATTGAATGTGTACACTTTTCCAGTTCCCCTCAGGCCTGACTGGTCCCTACTGCTATTCCCAGAAGCATTCAGCTCTCCTGTTTGTTCATTTCATGTCTTAAAGAATGGACCACTCACTACTCTAAGCATGAGGAGAAACTGGTGAGGACAGGTGCCCGTTCCATGGAATGGAAGACGAGAGATCACAAATAAATAAGACGATTTTAGGCAGTGAAGGAAGGCTTTTCTGAGTTACCACTCAAGCTAAGACCCAAATAATGAGCCAGCCACAAGAGTATCTGGGGGAAGGAGCCCTGACACATGCATTAGCTTGACATGTTTGAAAACCTTGGAGATCACCGTGGCTAGACCAGAGAGAAGAAAACTAGTGAATGAGGAGAAGAAAGGCAAGGCCAATTCCATAACATTTCGCAGCCCGTGGAAAGCACCGCAGCATTTACGTAGGTGCAGCAGGAGAGTGTGGTGAAGAGCATGCCTTGACCGACATTCCCCTGACTCACTCAAACCTGCTTACGGTACCAACTGGCCTCTGGAAGCATGGACATTTGTGACTCCTTTGATCTCTTATGTACTTGCTTTCTCCCTCTTGTGCCTGAAGGTACTCGAAAACACAACTTACGTTCGCTCCTTCGTGTCATGTTTGTTTAGCCCTCTGCCATCTGCCTTGTCACCCATCACTACTGAAGCTGCCTTCTCAAAGGCCACAAATGACCTCCTCAGTGTCAAATCTCCTCAGAGGCGTTCAGACCTGACTCCTCACCATCATCCCGTTGCTAATCTCCTTCATCTCTAGCTCCCTTCTTCTGAGCTCAACTCCTCCTGGTGAAAAGCTCCAGTTGGGTGTCCTACGGGCACCTGAATCTCAGCACATTAAACCAAAATCTTAATTCCACCCTCAGTCTGCTCTGCTCTTCCTCCTGTGTGCTATGTCTCAGCAGAAGGTGCCACCACCTACCCATCTACCCAAGGTAGAGTCTTGACTCGTCTTGGACTCCTCCGCTCCCCTCTTCCCTCCCTGTCTTTCCCACAGCCTCAGCTGGTCCCCAAGTCCTGTCTATTCCTTCCTGCAGTGATGCTCATTTCCTCTTCTTACCACTGCACTGTCCCAGGTCAGGTCCTCACTGCCACCCACTGATGACGCCACAGCTCCTTCATGGCATCCCAGGATCCCAACTCCTTCTTCTAATACATCCTCCAGCCACCAGATTCGCTCTTGAAATCACAGCTCTTGTCACACCACTTGGGACATTTAAAACTTTCAAATACTACTCAGGCCTTCAGCTTAAGAACCAAATTCTTTAAGATGACATTTAACATCTTATGCCAGTAGAAGTACAACCTTTACCAAATGCTCACCACACAGTGTGCACTATACCAAGTCCTTCAGACACTCACTTCTCACAACGAAGAAGGCATTTCCCCATTTCTCCACGAAGGTGAAGATGAAGAAACCGGAGGTTCGAGAGTTTAATTTGTGCAAGGTCAGACAGCTAACAAGTAGAGGAGTCCAGATTCGTTCACTCAGTAACAATTTATTAGGTCCTTACAATGAGCTCTGCCCCCAAAACCCCTCCTCCTCCTCCTCCTCCTCCTCCTCCTCCTCCTCCTCCTCCTCCTCCCCCTCCTCACTATGCCATCCCGGGCTCGCGGTCTCCAGCCTGCCTCTCTGGCTCCACCATCAATGCACTGTCACCACAGCAGACCACGTGACCACACTGTGCCACACAGTGCTTCCACCCCATGGACCCCCCTTTCTTTCTCTTTACCCAGCGTGCCTCTTCTCAGCTGGGGAATATTGCACGGAGGCGGCAACATACCCTGGAAAGAACACAAGCTCTGGGGTCAGAGGCCTGGGTCAAGGTCACGGCAGCACTTCATAGCTGTGCCACTCTGGGCAGAATTCTACGTTAGTCTCCTAGTCTCCAGGGTGGGAATCCAACACCCGCCCTGGGCAGTGGTGCGCACGGACGGGAAACGGCGTATGCGAACCACGTGGTACCCATTTCTCTGTACAGCTGACCGAGGTGCCCAGAAACATTCAGCAGAGGCATCACTGCCCCTGCAAAGGCTTCCTTCTTCCTGCTACACCGAACCGCTCCCGTTGCCGGCCCGCGAGGTTCTGCTCACACTACTGACACCCCGTCAGCGCCTGTGCCACCTGTCACTGACGATACAGTGTTTCCCTCAGCACAGCACACAGCGAGTGGTGGAAAGAAAGGGCCTCTTTCTTTAACAATCTTTATGAGCCCAGACTCAGGCAGGTGCCTGGCACACCACTGCCATGCAATGCACTTCTGAATTAAAAGTAACATAGTCAAGACTATAAACCTGCTGAATAAAGTTTAAAATCTGCCAAACAGATACACTTCTCAGTAAGCCTCACTGTTAATCAGTATTTCTTGAATTCTCCAGAGTTAAAAATAACAACAACAACCACACCACTCTGTTTTTTGGCACCGTTTGAGACTTCAGCAAATCTGTTTCTCTCATAAATTACAGAATTGGTAAAGTGTATGCTCCCCTTTCCCTTAAACTCTTATTATTATGGATTTAAAGTGTTCAGAGTACCTAAGCCATGGGAATTCTCTGTAGAATGAGTTAAATATTGTTTATTCATATTATTAATAGTGATTCAAACACAAGAGCAGATTTTTTTGTCTGCAGATTTCTGTGGAACCTACCGGTGAAAAATTCCTGGTTTAAAATACCTCTTCCCCTTTGTCAATGTTTTATACATTTAATTTTCTTTTCTTAATTTTACTGTTTTATAGCTTTAACATTTTATCTTGAGTAATGATACAAATCATATTCTCGAGCAAATATAGGTTTGTATCTAAATCTTACATACCAAAAGGACAAGTTCAAAAGATTCACCTAGACTATAGGAAAAAAATCTAAAAAATCTACCAAATGCCCCGCCTAGAACTTTCTGAAGCTTAAAATTAAAAAAAAAATAATACCTTTACTCTAGGCTTAGTACCATGTGGTGTTTAATCTATTCTTCATTTACCTGGTTCGTATAAAGGAGGCACACGCTTTCATCTGAGTCTCTAGCAACACTGCTTCTCTCTTTTCTGCCACACAGTTCTGAATATTTTTCATAGCTTTCTCATTCTTCTGGTTATTACTGCTGCTTGCTTCCACAGAAAACACAGGGCTCTCAGGCAACGTTTCAGGAAAACACAAAAGACAGTCTTTTCCTGAGTGTGTAAAGGAGGATTTGATGGTTTTGTCACTGGAGGTAAAACTGTTCTGTTTTTGAGATGACGCACACAATGTTGACAGAGCTGGGCCCAGACTCAGGTAAGCCTCCGCCAATTTGCCCCAGTTCCAAGGATCAAAAGGATGCAAAGAAATCAGTTTCTGTAGGCAGAGGATTGTTTTCTCCAAGTTCTGCAGACTTGAACAAATAGCAAATTGGAGGTAGAGCACAGTGGTTAAATGGTCTGTATTAGTTGCTTTATTTTCCTAGGGAGAAAAAAAAAGTTAAAAACTTTATTATTTTTTTAACATTCTATTTTTAAGTAATCTCTACACCCCATGTGAGGCCCGAACCACAAGCTCCACTAACTGAGCCAGCCAGGTGCCCCCAAAGTTAAAAACTTGAAACAGCAGAATCTTTTCCATGTGAAAATGGAGATGCCTAAAAACCCAAGTTGCATATGTTGTAAATCAGAATTATCTTTCAGCAGCTACAGAAGGAGAGAGAACAAAGTTTGAAGTTGTAAACGTAGAGAAACATATACTACCTACCAATAACCATGAGAAATTCCCAAACATTCTTGTCATAACCATAACGTAATTCCCGGGACAATGTCCTGACAAAATTCAGCATCAAAAACATAAATGTCAGTTTATCTTCCAGTTTTATTGTAATCTTTATTGTCTTCAGCCAGGTAGCTGAAAGACCCAAGCCAACTTTTTTGTACCCTGGGCTAATGGTTCCATTTTAATATTCCAGGCTTTCTAAAACTCCAAATGGTAATTTCCTTGAGGATTCGAATGGATTCCATTTCCAAATCTGACTTGGCTTAGACATCTTAAACAGGATAGCCCTGAAGCTCTCAGTGCTTCATGATGCGTCATAATTGAATCCAAATGCCGTCCCTGGTAACTATTACGAAGGTCAATTATTTTTGGCCAGAAGGGGTTGCTTGGTTTCGTTCTGATCAGAAAATCCTTTTCAAGTCTCTTTAACCAGAGTTACCACCTCTTGCCTAACTTGCCATATGGCAAAAGCCCTGTGGGTTAGGGAAAACAGGCTTCTTTTTCTAAGTTAAAGTCTATAAAGAGCAGATGGCAGACTAAAATTACCTTTCAGTTAACGTTAAGTCTAAAGAAAACCTGGTCCTACTAGCCTCCGGATCAAGCTCCTGCAAAGAATTACACTGAGCAAGAAATACAAGTAAAACTACCCAGTATGCAGACTGAAGAAACAGGCCAGAGAGGGAAAGCTTCCGGAGGATTCCAAATATTTACACATTATGTGAGAATATAGAAAATAAAGCTCCATGCAACCTATTTAGTGATACTGCACCTTCTCGATGACAGAATACATCTGGTTTTATTACCATTGTTTAGTATTCTGTCCTTCCTAAACATTAGGTTCCTTTTTTTTTTCACTTTTTAAAACTCATTTATTTCAACCTTAGTCCTGACCACACATAAAATTCTTTCCTAAAGTTTTCCTTCAGAAACTTCTACAATTTTGCCTTTTTTACTGTAAGCTTTATTTTAATTCCAGTTGGTTAACATACAGTGTTGTATTAGTTTCAGGAGTACATCACCCTGTGCTCATCACAAGTGCATTCCTTAATCCCCTTCATCTATCTCACCCATCGCCCACCCCTCCCCTCTGATAACTATCAGATTGTTCTCTATAATTAAGAGTCTGGTTTTGTTTTGACTCTTTTTTTCTCTCCCAAAAGGTTTTAGTGTTCAATGCTGAATTCCTAACAGAGAACATAGCACCTCGGAACTAACAGATGTTTTAACTAAGTAATAGGTCTTCATGTCTTCTACGTATAAGGAGAGCAAGAGACTTTAAGAGAAGCTACTTTTCTTCTACAAGTAGTCTAAGTGCTTTATGCTGTTTAATAACATTTCATATTAAGAATGTATGTTGGGGGGCGCCTGGGTGGCGCAGTCGGTTAAGCGTCCGACTTCAGCCAGGTCACGATCTCGCGGTCCGTGAGTTCGAGCCCCGCGTCGGGCTCTGGGCTGATGGCTCGGAGCCTGGAGCCTGTTTCCGATTCTGTGTCTCCCTCTCTCTCTGCCCCTCCCCCGTTCATGCTCTCTCTCTCTCTCTCTCTCTCTCTCTCTGTCCCCAAAATAAATAAAAACGTTGAAAAGAAAAAAATTTAAAAAAGAATGTATGTTGGGGTAGAGGCTGTTACATACAAACCATGATTTTGATGGGAGAGTTTTTATAGCACAGGTAGTAAATAACTCTCTGGAAATTAAATTCCATTTAAATGACTGTATGGGGGTACCTGGGTGGCTCAGTCAGTTAAGTGTCCAACTTTTCATCTCAACTCAGGTCCTTTTTTTTTTTTTTAATGTTTATTTATTTTTGAGAGAGAACACGAGAGAGCGAGAGCAGGGGAGGGGCAAAGAGAGAGGGAGACACAGAATCCGAAGCAGACTCCAGGCTCTGAGCTGTCAGAACAGAGCCCGATGTGGGGCTTGAACTCACAAACTATGAAATTGTGACCTGATCTGAAGTCAGACGCTTAACTGACTAAGCCACTCAGGTGCCCTGTCAGCTCATCAGCTCAGGTCTTGATTTCAGGGTCCTGAGCCCCACACTGGGCTCCATACAAGCTGGGTATAAAGTCTATTTTTTTTTTTTTTTTTTTTAGAGAGAGAGAGAGATACACACAGTAAGAGAGAGGATCCCAAGCAAGCTCCACACTCAGCATGGAGCCCGACTCAGGGCTTGATCTCATAAACCGCGAGATCATGATCTCAGCCGAAATCAAGAGTTGGATGTTTAACTGACTGGGCTGCCCAGGCCCACCTGGGCGTGAAACCTGTTTTAAATTAATTAATTAAATAAAAATAAATGACTTTGTGTGATTTTTCCAGAATGATGCAACTCCTTCTGAAATGCAATAATGATGAAGACAGTTAATATTTATTGAGTCCTAACATGTACCAGGTACTATTCTAAGTGCTTTACTCATTTAATCCTCATGATGATCCTTTAAATTTTTTTTTTTTAACATTTATTTATTTTTGAGAGACAGAGAGAGGCAGAGTATGAACAGGAGAGAGGCAGAGAGAGAAGGAGACACAGAATCCGAAGCGGGCTCCAGGCTCCGAGCTGTCAGCACAGAGCCCAACGCGGGGCCCGAACTCACAAACCGCGAGATCGTGACCTGAGCCAAAGTCGGATGCTCAACCGAATGAGCCACCCAGGCGCCCCACATGATGATCCTTTAAAATAGATTCCATTATTATCCCCATTTTATAGATGAGGCAACTGAGTCCCAACAGAAAAGTTAGAGAACCTACCTAAAGTCACCCAGCTAGTAAGCAGCAGAGCTACAAGTCACACTAGAAGTCACAGAATAAAGGGCCCTTTCCCTCTCTCTTTCTATTTATCTAAAGTAGACTTCATGCCCAGCATGGAGCCCAATGCAAGGCTTGAGCTCACGACCCTGAGATCAAGACCTGAGCTGGATCAAGAGTTGGATGTTTAACTGACTAAGCCACCCAGGTGCCTCAAGGGTACTTTCCAAGAGCAGACATGTGTTTACTTGGTGAACAGTATATGCACAAGGTATTTATATGCTCCATCTGTCACCTTAGCATTGAACCTAGAGCCGGGCACAGGGTGGGACTGAAATACATGTTTGTAGAGTGCAGAAATTTATTTATTTATTTTTAATGTTTAGTCATTTTTGAAAAAGAGATAGCATGAGCAGGGGAGGGGCAGAGAGAATGGGAGACACAGAATTGGAAGCAGGCTCCAAGCTCTGCACTGTCAGCACAGAGCCTGACATGATACTCGAACTCCAAGTTGTGAGGTCATGACCGGAGCCGAAGTTGGACACTTAACTGACTAAGCCACCCAGGTGCCCAAGAGTGCATAAATTTTTTTTTTTTTAATATATGAAATTTATTGTCAAATTGGTTTCCATACAACACCCAGTGCTCATCCCAAAAGGTGCCCTCCTCAATACCCATCACCCACCCTCCCCTCTCTCCCACCCCCCTTCAACCCTCAGTTTGTTCTCAGTTTTTAACAGTCTCTTAGAGTGCATAAATTTTAAAAAGAGTCATTTACCATCAGAAAGCAATGTCCTTACCACAGCTTATCACATGAGTACATCAGCTATTCTAAAATGTTTAAATTATTTAAATAAGAAATAAGAATATATAAATAAAATCCATTACAAATTCTGTCCAAAAATCATTAAGAAGAGAAGTGAATTAGAAGTTGTGAGCATGAAGGGCGCCTGGGTGGCTCAGTTGCTTAAGCATCCAACTTCGGCTCAGGTCATGATCTCATGGTTTGTGAGTTCGAGCCCTGTGTCGGGCTCTGTGTTGACAGCTCAGAGCCTGGAGCCTGACTTCAGACTCTGTGTCTCCCTTTCTCTCTGCCCCTCCCCAGCTTGCGCTCTGACATTCTCTCTCTCTTTCTCTCTCTCTCAAAAATAAATAAACATTAAAAAAAAAAAAGTTGTGAGCATAAAATGTTCATATCCTGATGGGCACTCCAAAACTAGCTGTCTACTTTGTTCAATGCTGTATTCTGGCCTGTCCCCCTACAGAACAGGAAAGGACAACAGCCACCAAGACACAAACAGAAATAGACCAGAGTTAATAGCAAAAGAGAAGGGTCTATAAATAGGGAAGAAATTTAAAAAATAAAATACAAGGTACCAGGAAATGAGAAACTATATAAATCGGTAGGGTCCACTGAGATCCTGTGAAGAGACCCAAAGGAAGGGTAAGGCCCCTGGCCTGCACTGCTGGTTCCTTCCCCAACAGGATGCCCAGAAGCCTGATGAATAGTTCCCAAAGTCCTGGCAGGGGAGCTGAAGGTCTTCTGCCTGGTCCTTCCCCCTGCCTGGTAGCATCCCAAGCTCCGGAGACCTTGCATCTGCTGACTGGCAACAGATCTTTCTCTGAGCCACAGAAACAGACTAACTAAGCTGGAGGGAACCACAAAAATAACCCAGACGCTAAAGCCACCGCCACTGCCTTCAGTGGGTTAGGCGGGGACAACGAGCACAACAGAGATGTGCAGATGTCAGGAAGAGAGAGGTGACAGGAGAGTAAGGAACAGGAATGAAGGATGGGTGACTGATGTCTAGAAAAAGTACTAAAAGGGCCAAAGCTGTTGTTAATTTGTAGACCCGGGAGACCGAGAATGAACACTGTTAAATTCCACCAAGTTCACTGTGCCGTCTACTTCCTCAACGAGGTAATTTTACCTTCCAGCTTCAGAATTCACCCACACTTAGGAGAAGAGCAAGACACAGCTGTTTTCCACATTCTACACACAATTTTCAAGGTTTCCTCTCACCGCAAGAGGCTGAAGTACTAGGCAATGAACCCCGTCGGCAAGCAAATTTAGGGATTTCTCTTAGTTAATGACATGGAAGAGACGAGCTCAATTGCGTGCATACTTTAGGCTGACCTCTGTTTGGCTTGATCCACAGGGTTCAAGATCAGTGCCCTAGTGCCTCATTAATTCCCTCTGAGGAGGTAAACTGGCCATCTATAAACTAAGATTGGTCAACTTAGACCAATCCCATATAAAATTTACACACCCACACAAAACAGAAGTAAACCAAAAATGCCATCACCTGAAAACAAAAACAAGCAGAATCTAGAACTGCAAATAACTGCTTTTCTTTATCCCTTAAAAAGGGATTCTAAAAGGCTGGAAAAAATAAAAATAAAAAAGGAATGTTAAGCTTGGCTCAGTTTATATTTAGGGTTTTTTGGTAACTTTTTTTTCCTGTTTACAAAAGTAATCCATGTTCATTGTAAAAATTTTGAGAAATAAAATCTAAAAAAAAAACTGAAGAAAAAGTCACTGATGATCCCTCTACTCTGAATATTTACTCCTAACAAGAGTAAAACCTTTACAAATGAGATTTTCAGGCAATGAAGAATTTTGAGCCTAACACAGGAAAGAAAAAATATTACAAGAAAGTGATTGTCTAGAGCTCTGAACTGTTTGTTCATCATAATAAAGTTCTTACACCATTGACAATTTTCATCTACTTATCCAAACCCACAGATTTTGCTGCAAGCAAGAAGTTGTTTTTTGTTTTGTTTTTTAGAAAACAAACTATTCAATAATCCGCGGACAACAAATGGAAAATAAGCAATGAAACCACTTACCAAGTTTGCAGCGATCTCCAGGGCTTCTGTGTGCCTTCCCAGGTGAACCAGACACCGCGCCTGGCCTTCCTGGACATCCCTTTTCATGGCAAAATTTGTAGATGGCAGTTTTTCAGAGACACTCGAGTACTCTTGCAGTGCTTTCTGCATATTATTTGTTAAATAAAGGAAATGAAAAGAAGGGATGAAAAAAAAGAGGTGAAACTATAGTAGAAAAAAGGATTTAGTTATAGCGATGATTTTTTTCTTGGCAGAAGGTAATATTATAATGGACTCTACAATGAACTAAGGGGGGCTTGAGCATTTGTCAGTACTACTTTCTAAGAAGTAGAAAAGAGATGGCTGGAGAATATAACCCCTACTACCATGGAAAATATCACCGTATGGTAGGAAAGCATTCTGGGGCCAAGCAGACCAGGGTTTGAATCCTGGTTCTGCCACTAACTTGCTATATATAGCCTTCTTTTTCTCATCAGCAAAATAACAAACGGACTCTTGTGAAGAAGAAATGAGATTTTATATGTAAAGCAAGCTGGGACCTAACTGTTAGTTCTTTCTTTTTCTTATACATTTTGGGGTGCTTTGCTCCTCTGACCCCATGAGGCATCTGTGCTAGAGGGTCCCACAGAATGAGGAGACGCACAGCCTGGGGAAACAGACCTGCAAGGATCCCAAGAAGATCCCTATATTGTAGTTACAGGAAACAAAACAAATGGCAGAGAGCCATGTAGAAAAGGACAGAAATTTGGGATTCTGAGATTACAGACCCTTACCACAAAAGACTAAATTCATCCTCACAAACAACACACTCATAACTGATATGCTATAACTGATAGAACAAGAACCTATTTCAGGCAGTGCAACCTTAGATATGTTCAATTCTACCTGATACTCTTGCCGTCTGTAGGCGAGGTCCCCTTTGAATTTCTTCAGAGTTAGAGCTTCAACTTCATCACTGCTCCCCGTTTCTTCATAAAACCACTAGAAATTGTGAAAATAGCACATTACAGAGAATTAAGTGATACTTTTCCACCTCATACTCAAGTAGAAGTAATTTCCCATGTATTATTGATTAGACCTCAAAAAAAGATCCTTTTTTAGGATGAGACTCACAGGAAAACCTATGACGAGAACGACGATTTTTAGTGATGGCTCAGTTTTTATTAAACTTATCATAAGTAACAAACGCACTCATCACATGGAACCTCTCAACTGAAAAAGAAGCACAGGCCTATTTGGTTCTATCTATAGCATTTCAAAGTGGGGTTGTGGTGCCTGGGAAGCTACATTTTAATTAGGACAGTTCAAATGTTGTTGTTGTTGTTGTTTTTTAAAGTTTATTTACTTATTTTGACAGAAAGAAATAGAGAGAAAGAGAGAGAATCCCAAGCTGGCTCCACACTGTCAGCACAGAGCCCTACGCCAGGCTTGAACTCACAAACCATGAGATCATGGCCTGAGTCAAAATCAAGAGTCAGACGCTTAAGTTGACTGAGCCATCCAGGTGTCCCTTGAATGCTTCTTTAGGCTGACATGTTTCTCTGTAGAGACATTTTTAGAGTGGTCAGAACAGGTATTGACAACTCTTTATGGAAAGGACATAGGGAAGAAGAATTATCTTTATAGTGCTTATCATAAAAATGTTGTAAAAGCAGAAGGCAGAATCTAACCAAAAGAGACAGAAATTAAGGCTGAAAGTAGGTTTCCATGCAATCAAATGCCAAAGACCTGTAGAAAGGAAGTCTGAGTAAATGTCCATCTGGCATATTTTATTCCCTTTTCTACTGATTTAAACCTTATGGACAAGAAGGAAAGTGAACTGGGAATTTTTGGTTAGTGAATCATGAACATGAAGATGAGAAAACAGGTGTAACAAAAAGCAGTCTGTATGCCAGTTTTTCCAGCTCCAAAGCAGTAACTCAACCTCCCTTTTCCTCACAGAAAAACACACCGAGTCTGAATGTAGTCTATCCCCAGGTAAGTGCTATTAAAACGCCAACTGCATTTGTGATGGTTCTACCATCACGTCCAAATTGCTTGGTTCCATTTCTAAAAGAGTTGCCCGGGGTATCCATGCCCTCCTATTATCTCAGTAAAATCGTTTCTCTCCTTAGCCTCACCCATCACAGCGAAGAAAGCTGGCAACTGCTGTTTTTCTGTTGTCCCCGGAGGACTGCGTAAGCCAACAACAGTCTGTGTACTGAACCCACAATTCCTCTGCGCTCTGCTGCTCTCCAGTCACAGCGCCAATCCCAACTGCCTCACTGCAAACCTTCATCCAATTTTCATGATCCCACTGGGAAACGATCACGCAAAAACTGGCTTTCAAATGACTGTCTTTATGCTCCCCTGTAACCTGCAGGCCTGCAACAATTCACAACAGAGATGGCTTCAAACACCCTTTTCCGGTGAGAGGAAGGAGGGGAGATCTGTGAACAAGGGTGGCCCTAAGAGGTGAAGCGCTGGATGCGGCCCACCTCCGTCCCACACCGAACCTGAGCAGGGACAACAAATCCTCTAACCCAAATTCCTGGTGTTACACCCAAAGAAACCAACAAGACTTGAGGAAGGCCTTTCTGGCTTCACGAGCAGTATCACGTACCAAACAAGTCCTAAAGACCAGCGATTTTTGGTTTTGACTTCTCTTTTTTTTTTCTTTAAAAAAAATTTTTTTTTACGTTTATTTATTTTTGAGACCGAGAGAGACAGAGCATGAACGGGGGAGGGGCAGAGAGAGAGGGAGACACAGAATCGGAAGCAGGCTCCAGGCTCCGAGCCATCAGCCCAGAGCCTGACGCGGGGCTGGAACTCACGGACCGCGACATCGTGACCTGAGCTGAAGTAGGACGCTCAACCGACTGAGCCACCCAGGCGCCCCTGGTTTTGACTTTTCTAAGCATACAGCACATCACACCTGCCGGTCTCTCGCCCCCTTCACTCCACAACAGCCCTGGGAGCCAGCAAATGCCATTTTCCCCAAATGACAAAGGAACCGACACCTTGAAAGGCAAGTGGTAAAGCCCAGGCTGGAATTCAGGATCCTATCTCATAACTATCCGTATGTAGCTTTTGATGCTGCACCACTATGACTTCCTAAGCCCGTTCCTGTTTTCAGTCTACACTGCGATCAACTACTACAGGTAACGCTGAAAGAATGTACAGATAAGGAGAAAGGGAAAGTGAAATAAAACAAACATATTTCCGTAATTACTGAGCGCCTGAGATCTCTACAACGGTTTCAAAGAAAAATGAAGACAATACATATAAAGGAACCTAGCACAGTGCCGGGAACAGGTTAAGTTTTTGATAAATAGTACAGTAGTTCTTATACGTGAGGTGAGATTTACACCCATTGAGTAACACAAAGTAATATTCTACGAAGTCAAAACATTCACGGAGTTGCTATTATGAACAAAAACTGCCAGGCACTGTAGAGGACACAAAGTCAAGCACCCACTCTGCTGAGATCATTTGGCACTCCAAGAGCTTGACGCTCCTGACAAGGGATGTAACACAAACTGAATGGAGGGGGAAAGTAGTCAAAGGCAAACGTATTTCCTTGGAAGGAGGAAATCAGAAAAGACTTCCTGGAAGAGGCAGCATTCAAGGTGCACTCTAAGAAATGGCTATAATTGAGCGATTTGACCCTGCGAGCGAGGCTGACGCGGGCTGGAGGAATTCACTGACCAAGGGCAGGCCGGTGGGCGGGGCGTCGCCGTTTGCAGAGCGGCCAAGAGTTCAGTTTTGGAAAGTGGGCGGGAACCGGATTCTGAGGGTCCCGGCTGCACAATCAGTGTGGGCACACGGAGTTCCTGAAGATTTCAGGGCAGGGGGCGACGTGAGGTCAGCGAGCCTTTGGAGAGACCCGCTAAACGCCCGGTACGAGTTAATCGCTGCCAGCGCGGGACCGCCGGACCGAGCCCACCGGTGGGGCTCGGGAAACGCACCGGTCTCGTGAGGACAGGGGCAGCGCAGCGGGAGGGGCGGCCCGGCGAGGCGGAGGGCGTTACTGCTGGCAGGAACTCCCCGCCTGGCACCCGCGGAGGCCGAGGCCGGCGGCCCGGACAGAGGCCAGCAGGCCCCGCCTTCTCACCTGCGGCTCGCAGCGCTTGGCGCGATAGGACGCCGGCAGTCCCGGCCGCCGCTCCCGCCTCTCTTCGAACACCGAGTCCTCGAACTCGCCCCCCAGCAACCAGCACCCAGTCTCCATCCCGCGCCAGCCGCCGGCTTTCGGGAGTAGGAGGAGTCTAGAGCGGCGCCCACGTGCGGGCCAATGCGGAAGGGGCGGAGCCGCCAGAGGCCAGAGAGCGGCATGCTGGGGCTTGTAGTCTCTGGAGGAGGAGGGGCCCAAAGCGGGAATTGGCCCGCTGCTGGCATGGAGTCCCGGGGGAACTAGGATTTTTATCTGACTCACAAACTGACCGAAGTCGGGAACGGAGTGTTTGACTTATCCGTTTCAGGAGATGGACAGAGATCCTCATCTGCACGCATCAAAAAGCAGGCTCCAGGGTAGCTTTTTAAAACTCAAAGGTAGTATTTTTTTCACCACTCAAGATATTTGTGGCACTGTGTTAAGCAGTTTTTGCACTTTACATCCTCTCTTAACAACTTATGAAAGGCGCAATGATTCCCACTTTGCAAATGAAGCTGTTGGGGCTTAGAGAGAAGTTGCTTAGCGTCAATTTTTACGTGGCTAAGAGCTGGGAAAGACAGAAACGAACCTCTAGTCCCCATGTTTCCAGAAAAGGGACACCACCAATAACAAAGACCAGAGTAATTCACGCATTTACAGAATGGAGGACAGAAGTTTACTCTGGATGCTCGATCAAGGACCATTAATTTTATCTGGAGAAAAAACACCAAATCCCAGAAGTATAAAACTAACATTTACTAGAGTTCTTATACTTTCAAGATACTCCTTGAGACTAGAAAATCAAAATTACTGACAAAATACCGGCCAATATGCTACAGCTCAATATTACTGTGACATATTACACAGCAGGTTTTCCCTGGTTTTCCTGTTTCTCCCCACTCACCTGTTCCTCTTCCACCATTTGTCTTACAAGGTTCTATCTTCAACCCAATTTTCTATTCCACAAACTTAACCTGGGGGAACCTAATCCACTCCCCAAGGTTTCAAAATCCATCTCTCTGCTGATCAGTCCTCAAATTTAGAGTCAGTCCATATATCCAGCAACCTTGAGTGGAAGGCTTTATCAGGACAGGCTGCAGACATTAGCTACTGATGTATTCATCCATAGAAGGGCTGTTAAAAAAAAAAAAAGAAGAAGAAAATGTTTTCTTATCAGAGATGTTATAGTACTAATTAGGAAAAATTTAGAAATTATAGAAAAATAGCAGAAAAAAAGATACCCATAATATCATCATCCAGAGGCAATGGAGAGTCTAAAAAAGGTAAGCGTATTTGTCCTAATGTTAATAAGTCCTGTTCTAGCAGAATAAGCAATACAGCATAGTGTTGAAACAGCCTCATACACCAGATTTCTCTGCGCTCATGATCCTGGTTCAGTTATTCACTAGCAGTGTGATCCAATTTGTCAAATGGGCATTGATTAAAATAATGCATGTAAGTTGCCTGTCAGCAAATGAGTAATACACATTGATTCAAAATTCCTGTTTCAGGAGCGAAGTAAGAACAAAGCAAAGGCAGGCAGAGATCATTTTTTTCAGCCTTTTCTTTTTAAAGGCTATTTAGTTTTGGCACACCCAATCCTCTTGGGTTCTGTGCCCCCACTTCACACCCCCCCCCCCCGCATCCCCACCCCACCCCTGCCTCCTCCTGGCCCAACAACTACCTGAGCTAAATCTTCTCCTGCAATGGTAAAGAAGCCACAGAATTGCTGCTTATGAGTAAGAGAGAGTTCTTTGCCCTTTGAACTCAAGATTTCTGAGCTCAGGGGATTCCAGCATTTTCACCACTAAGAACCCTTTCAGTTATTTTTCCTCAAAGTTGTGGAGGATTTGTGCACACAAAACTGAGTTAATTAGTAATTGCTTTGTTTTCCTTTAAAAATTTGAATCCAAGTTCCTATATAACAGCCAATACAAGCCTCTGTCCAGCCTGAGCCTACTGGCATTGCCTCATTGTGAGTTAGGATTTTAGTTGAAAGCAAAGAAGTAGCAGTGAGGGACTGCAGAAGGCCTGGTGAAAGGTTAAACATGATTAACATCGGGCCTTTGTTAACAATGAAAACAGCACAAAGGCCCCTATCACTATTGAGGACTCAGTATCTGGACCCCAATTTTAAACCACTGCCTCACTGATAGAGAGGATTTAGGATACTGTCTTTTTTATTTATTTATCTTTTAGAAGAGAGAGCACAGGGGAATGCGCAGAGGGAGAGAGAGAGAATCGTAAGCAGGGGGCTTTATGATTCCCAGTCCAAAGTGGGCTTGATCCCAGAACTCCGGGATCATGACCTGAGCCTAAATCAAGAGTTGGACACTCAACGGACTGAGCCACCCAGGCACCCCGTAAAGATTTTTTTAATTTAATTTTTTAAAGTGACCTCTACACTCAACATGGGGCTTGAACGCACAACTCTGAGATCAAGAGTCACATGTTCTACTGACAGAGCCAGCCAGGTGCCCCTGGATAATGTCATTTTTAAAAAGAGGAGAGGGGCACATGACTAGCTCAGTGGGTAGAGCACGTGACTCTTGATCTCAGAGTTGTGCGTTCAAGCCCCACATTGGGTGTGGAGCCTACTTGAAAAAAATAAAAATAAATAAAAAGAGGAGAGTAAACCAGGAAGAGAGAAGGACACTTTGTAACTATTAAATACAATTTACATACTTAGGAAATGCCAGATGTTAGGCACTGTTAGGGAGTAAAAGGGAATTTTGCAAGAGTTTAAGATTGTGTGGGTTGCGATAAAAATCTGTTTTTATAGATTTTTATTTATAAAAATCTGATTTTTGACTGAGGGGGTGATTCAGTTCCCCACTGCAAGGTAGAGATCACTTACTCCAGGCAGCCGTCCTTCCTCTTTCCTGTAATTCCTCCATGCTTTTATCCGTTGTGGCATTTATGACGCTGTGGACTGTTGGAGGTTAGAGATGGTGTCTTTTTCACTCTTGGAAACTCAGCCCTCAGACAGGGTTTGGCCCAGGGCTGCTCAATCAATGCTTGTTGAATGGACGGGAAATAGCAGAAGGAGCAGACAGAAGCATTTCTCAGCTTGCTTTTTTTTCTTTTTAAAATTTGTTTAATTGTTGGGGCGCCTGAGTGGCGCAGTCGGTTAAGCGTCCGACTTCAGCCAGGTCACGATCTCGCGGTCCGTGAGTTCGAGCCCCGCGTCAGGCTCTGGGCTGATGGCTCGGAGCCTGGAGCCTGCTTCCGATTCTGTGTCTCCCTCTCTCTCTGCCCCTCCCCCGTTCATGCTCTGTCTCTCTCTGTCTCAAAAATAAATAAACATTAAAAAAATATATTAAAAAAATTTGTTTAATTGTTTATAGAGAGCAAGTTGGGGAAGAGAAAGGGAGACAGAGGATCCGAAGTGGGTTCTGTGCCAGTAGCACAGATGATGCGAGGCTCGAACTCAGGAACCTCGGGATCATGACCTGAGCTGAAGTCGGACACTTAACTGACTGAACCACCCAGGTGCCCACTTCTCAGTTCTCAGTCACATAGTCGGGTCCTTTCTGAGGGGGAGGGAAGGAGCCAACATTTATGAGCATCTATTATGCACTAGGTTGTGCTATGAACACTCTATTAACTTCCTTGTAATTAACTCTCAAAATATCTCCCTCAGAATTAGACATTACTATTTCCATTTTTTGTAGACAAGGAAATAGGACCTGACAGGTAACTTGCCCAGAGTCCCAGATAGTGAGTAAAAGAAACCAGATTAAAAATCAACTTTATCTGACATCAAAGTCTGTGTTCTGAACTATCTCCCGAAACCAAAATAGCAGGGTTTCAGAAAGACCTGGAGAACTGAATCTGTCACTGGCTGCCTCTGCCTGCCTCATGTTCTGGAGGCTTCAGGACTCTTCATTTCTTTCTGTGTGTCTCTGCAGAATGGCTTTCTCTGCCCTGCTTGTGCACATTCCAACATGACCTCTGAAACCTGGGCAATTCAAGCCCCCAGAAGCATCACTATGTGTCCAATTCCAGGTCACCTGCCAAGAGACCCTACTGGCCAAAGAGTGAGAAGCCCTCGCTGTTTCAAAGAGCTGAAGGCTGAAGATTCTGGTGCTCTGCTGGTGGCTCAGGGGTGGCTGTGGGACCGGGAGGTGGCAGGGAGCAAACTTGACATATATGTGTAGTCTGTGGGATTTGCAGTCACTGTGCCAGGCAGTGTGGGGTCTTTGCTTTGGTCTTGTCTGGAAACCCCGGTCTAGGGTCTAGCCTCTTGCATACATCATTCTGCAGACCCAGGGGTGCTTCCAGAGTACAAGACTTTTCTCACTGTACTTAGAAATTACACACCTCCACACCCCTCTCAGTCTTGAGCCCTGCTCAATTTCTATTTCTACCTCTCAAAGATACTCCCGTCCAGAACACCAAAATATTATCTTTGACCACAGGCTTCAACCAAAGATGAGGAGACCGGTTGTTTTCAAATTGTTTTTGGAATTACCCAGAAATCCAGACGTTCTGTGAAGCCAGAGAAAAGTTTTATCCAGCACTCCAAGATGCATGTCTGAGGTTACCACTTTCCTTCCTGGCCCAATGGAGATGTTGGAGGTGCTTTGAAAAAGCCTGACACCTTACTAACGACACATCCTTACTCAAGCATTCAAAACCATCTACAGTTTGTTACCAAACCAACTCATACTCTTTTATGTATGTATTTATTTTTTAGTGTTTTTGTTTCTACAACTTCATTGAGGTGTATTGGACAATTAACTGCACACATTTAAAATGAATTTTGACCTAAGTATATATTCTGTGAAACTTTCCCTATACTCGAGGTGATGAACACATCCATCACCTGTAAAGGTTTTATTCCTCCCCTACCTCATTGCTTCAATTGAATCCTGCTCTGCAACCAGGCTGGTCCTCTCCAGAATGGGCCTCCCCGCCTCTCCCCCCAAGTCTTTCCTTCATGCTGCAACCTTCCCTGCCCCTCCCAGGTCTCAGCTCACCATTTCCTTCATCAGGAAAGCCCCTCCCAGGGCCCTCCCACTATAACCAAGTGGGATTTATCCTAGGAATACAAGAGTGGTTCAACATAAGAAAATTAATCAATGTAATACATCATGTTAACAGAATGAAGGGGAAAAAAGTCA